CTCATATTTAAAGCACATGCTTGCCTGCAGCCACCTTTTCTGCCGGGCAGACAAAGAATTCAACTCGCAGTGAGGAAAATAAAGGCTTCGAGCACAGAGAAAGAAGGTGGATATTTTCAAGGAGTCTCTCTGAAAAACCTCTGCGCTCTCCCAGCAATGTGCCCCCTCAGAGATTACATATATTAACATTTCTATGATTTGCAATGTGCTTACAGTCGATGCACTTCTGTTATTCCGCTCCACCAGGTTTGCACGTGCATGTATTTGTGTGTTCATCTTTTTCTCCTTGAAGTGTCCTAATTGAAAGCCCGGAGGCACAAAGAAACGGGCCGCTATGCAGTTTTCCGGCAGTATTTTACAGTAGCTCGGCCGCCTGTGTGTATTTCACCTAAAGGCGCACAAAAATAACACAGGCATCAAAAGAGTGCTTGTTGACCTTGTGCACCCCGTGTTCATGATTAACGAGACACTATGTCTCCCATCTCCCACGTCAACGTCATATAATTGGTCTATTTGTTTCTGTTGATTGCGTTCCCATCTACGGGTTTCTCCTCCACAGTGTGTCTGTATCCACTCGGGTGCGAACTGACGCGTCCGCAGGTGTGTGGATTTGTTCGCCGGTGTGCGTGTGCGCGTTTATCTGCAGAGCGTCGATAGCCAGCCCCCCTCCCTCCACCCTCTCCCAGTAATCTCTCCCGCTGTTACTGCAGTTTACATTCGGCCGGGGGCCCCGGGGCCGCTCAGCTGCAGAGTTTGCTGCCCTCGGGACCGTCGCAGTTTCTCATCACCTCTGCACCCAGACGAGCCGCCTGGCCACGAAAACAAAGCGACCTCGGGGGTCACGTCTGGTTTTTAAAAAAATAAAAAATAAAAAGCTGTTAGTCATTAAATTCAATTAATCAATTATTGCACCAGAGTTACCATGGAGGTGACTGATGTTTCAGTTCTGAATGGATGTGAAGTGGAAGCGAGTGAATTTGTCAACCACAACTCGGATAAACAGACGCCACATTTTTTATTTATGGCTTTTCGTGGAGCAACGGCTGCTCCGTCGGTGCCGAGGTGTGCGTGTGGATGCAGAGTCGGAGGCGGGACTGGTGATTTTTTAAAGGAAAATCTTCACAGAGCAGAACTGAGATGAACGTCGATTTGGAGTGACGTAAAAGTCACATAAACTCAGATTTGAACGTGGAGACGAGACAAATGTGAGTCATCCATCTGATTTAGGGAGTAAAAGTATTCCAAATCAAAGAAAAGAAAGATCTGAGTCGCATGTGAACAAAACATCCGATCGAGTCAACTTCTGCTGCAGAGTGAACATGATATGCATACGATATGGGCCGAGCTGCTTTTCCATGCCTTTGAATCTCCTTAAAGGCCTTCGGGACTGAAAAAGCAAACAAACCCTCACAGCTTTGATTCATACAATATTTATCGTTTTTCTAACGGTGCTTCAAAACTTCATCACAAGTAACTGACCCGGAGGAGCTGGAGGTCAGTCTGGTGGGCAGATGAGTGCTGCACAGACTGGTTTCCATACATTAGTTTTTGGGAGGCACATCAGCGTGTTGTGAGGAGGCGGCTGCAGAAGCTCCACAGCCACCAGCTTATTTCATGGCCATTACACGAGGCTGATGGAGGAACTCGACTCTTCTCTTTGAACTGGGATTAGTACCAGGGAGAAACAAAACCGGGCTCTTATCTGCCTCCGATATTTGTTTGGAGCTCCGGCAGGGGGGGGGGACTCAGCCGTGTGACTGCAATGTGAAACACCTCATGAGTCATTTCCCCCCCCCCCATTTCCCCCCCCACAGGTATCATCCGGATTAGCTCGACGGGTGAACGTAAACTAGTAGTGTGCCTGTATCTGACACACACGTTGGGTTTCTGCTTTGCAAAAATTCTGAAATTAGGAATTACTTCCCAAAAAGCAATTAGCGTGTTTTGCCTGCGAGGATTCCTGAACCAAACCAATCGCTCTCCCCCAGGATCAAAGCACAGCGCACGCCGTTTGAAATTCATTGAAAGCATTGGATTAATAATGCAGAGAGGAGCTCGGGAAAGAGGACGATGCCTCCTCGACTCCTGGCGGAAGCCCTTCTGTCGCGACCCGATGGGGAACCTCTGAACCAACGGAAAAAAGGTCACAGCGAAAGTAGCTGGAGCTAACACCCCCCCGGCCCCCCCATCCGATCCCCAGGAGGCAGCAGATACGAGCTACCCAAAGAAATCCATTTCCCCCGCTCGGAATAGTTACCATGCCAACTCCCCAGTGCTTTCCCTCACAGAAAAGGAAGAAATGAGTCCATATGAAATGTTTGATTGAAACACAGGAGGTTTTAACAAAATGCTTTAAAACAAAACATTTTTTACGAGATCCTTCCAACACGAACATTGTAAAAAATATTACACAAGGTCTCCTTTCCAGTGTATGGTAAAGGAAGAATGTAAAATAAAACTAATTTTATCTCTAGACTCGCAGGCTCTTTAAAGTTACGCCTATCTGCTTCATTCCAACTCTATTTTAGTTTTTTCTCTTCTCTCGTTCAAAGCGTTCATTCTGGTCGTTTATCTTCCCCGTGCCAATGTTGTGTAAGTACGTGTCAACCGCAGAGGGAGGTATTGATCCTGCTCTCCTCTCTTCATCCTCGTTCTTCACTGTAGAGGGGAAGGAAAAAAAAAAAAAAAAAAGAATATTAAAAAATGAACCATCCCTGAAGCTCCCAGCCAGGCTGTTGGAACAGAAACAAAAGCAGACAAGCTGCCTGTCGGCCGGCAGCGAGCGGAGCCCTGCGCGAGCTTGCAGGTTCAACACGACTCATCTGGGGACTGAAGCCGTCAACCGCCTCTGACGTCGTGTGCTTTTAGATAGAAATCATAAAACACGACAGAAGAAATGCCATTGACGTATTTCAACTCGCTATTCCCCCTCATGGGCCCAACGCTGCTCTGTGAGCTCCGTTTGTGCCAGTGAGTTTGGACTTTTGTGCACTTCTCTCCACTGAATGTGAAGATAAATGGGCCAGCGAGGCGGCCTCGGGACATGAATTAATACAAGGAGAGCTAATGCTGAATTAATTATCAACGGGCGAGCAGCAAACAAACAAGAGGATCATTTGATGCCGTCAGGTTTTTAGTCGGATTAGCACCGAGCACTGAGGCCAACGGTGTGCATTATATATACACATATATAAATGTATACATCTTTCCATATTGGTCTGTACAGGGACACGAGTGTTTCCCATCTTTCAACTTCAAGAGCAGATAAAAAGAACTTGATATGAAATGCAATTATTCTCAAAACTAATCTAGGACCATTGGACACTGGTGATTGTGGGAAAGCCTTTTATGACCACGCTCGGTGTCAGAGAGCCCGCGTTCATTCAATTACGGATTCTTTCCTCCTGAACATGATACAAAGCGCGTCGATGCGCATTGGAACGACTAATAAAGTGCAGCAGAAAAGTGCACCCTGCCACCATAACACCGTGTGATGACGGAACTCCTCGGCCTTCTCGCCTCCTCTTCCTCGGCACTTCTTCACGCCGCCACGCTCGCTGTGGCCCCGTCGTCACGTGACATCTATCCGGCCTCCTCCTCTGCCGCCTGTCAGACGCTGGACTACAGTGCGGGCTCCAAGAATAGCTTCCTCTGATCTGCTCATCGCGATGGAGTGTCACTCCTGTTCTCCCCTCCAACACCATCTCTGCTTTTACCCTTTTCACACCTCTAATGCGGCCGGCTCCCGCCTGCACAACCCCTGCGTAAAAGTAGAGGGATTTATATTTATATATAGCCTTTTTTTTCTTCTTCTTTTAGAAGCGGTCGACTTTTACGCCAAACATAAAAAATAAATGATGGTACTAATCATGTGAGGAGTGTGAAACGGAGGACATCGCACCACGAGGGGAAACGCTTCCAGCTCTCCCGTGTTACGTTTTAAGTGAACATTGACATTAACACGGCACCTCTGGGTTTTTCCTCCAAAGATCAGTGCATATTTGGCAGAAGCAAACGAGGAAGACGGGCATTTGGAATACAGAATGTGGTGCAGGGAAACAACTGGCTGCAGTGTAATGAATGTTAACATTTAGATCAATGTCGCTGCACTAGTGTATTGATTGTGTTATATATCATAAGCGTGGCTATACGTACTGTAATGCAGCGCCACATCTGGAAGGGGATTTGTTAAGCTGATTTGAGGAGATGTTTGCTTATTCGTGGTTGCGTCAGTGTGTCGAATTTTGAACACTATCTGGTGACGTGGAATGAATTTAAATGAGAACAAATGGGATTTTTACCATATAGCCGAGAAAAACCAACACTAATCCGTACGGATTCTCAGTCTCTAAATCTTAAATGGCTATAAGCCGTTTTTGACTGAGACCCCTATGCAGGCGGTGGGGATATTATGTCAACGTTCAATACGCTCCATTTAAGATTCATTCTGTGACCTTCAGTTAATTGGGAAAAATAAGAATTGTGTTGAGTCTTCATTGAGAGCTAAAGTTTAGTATGTTTAGCAGTATGTAGTTTAAAGGTGCCCTTGTTCTTTAAATATACTGCAGAAGGAACTGGGTTATTTCCTTTGGTCTATGTTTATATTTGTCCGACCTCTGTAGCGTCGCAGTGCCAAACTGTAGTAAAGCGCGGCGCCTCGGGCAGCGTTTGCTGGTCATTCTGTCCTTTTCACTGTCACAGGGCCCTGCAGGGCCTCCCCCGTCCACCTCGTAGGGGGAGGGGACTCCAGAGTGGAGGCCTTAGGGAGCGTGCTAGGAGATTAGGTGGCAGCTGAGCCCCCAGTAGATGTCACAACGATCACCAGCACACGGCTTAATTAGTAAAGGGCACGGAGCAGTGGCGTGTGGTTGATTCGTTTGGATGGGGTGAGAGGATTGTGGGAAAATCTTTCATTGTTTTGCCAGATTTCAGCTGGAGAAAAGGAAGCGTTAATAAATATCTCATTCATGTTGTTTTTGCGTTGTGTTTTTGCGTTGCAGAGACAAGGATCTGGCGCGGCTGCTGGCAACAACAAGACATCTGGAGAACAAGGTAAAAAAAGAAAGGAAATAATGCTGTGAAAAACATCTGCATCCGCAGCGGCGTTAATTTCCCCCAAACATCTCATCGGCCTCTAAATGTACTTGTCATTTTGAAGCATTTACATGAATAAAGACGACCGGGCGACTTGCGGCGTGCTTTTGGAGACGGCGGGTGATTGGCGCACAGACGGGGGGAGGGAGGGAAAGTAGGCCACAGTTTACAGAACATGTGGGCTCATGTACGCAGGAGGAGCTTTTAAAGGCAACGTCACATGATTGACAGTAACTGGGTCTGAAGGACGGCTTTCATCATCCACACACACACACACACACACACACACACACACACACTCACACGCAGCCCTCTAGGATTTCCTTCGATCTCTTTGTGAGTTCGGGGGTGCCGTGTCAGAATATTTCATAACATCTGAAAGAGATCATTTGTCATCGAGGTAATGACAGCGTGGTCACGTGCGACGCCCTCCAGTCCCGATGGCAGGAGCTCTAAAACGACGCCAGCTTACACGCCGTCGTTCATCCGTAACGAATCACCCAAGAATTCGCATGAAGAACTCGGCTCGTTCGGCGTTTCGCTGGTCGCTTTACGTTTGAGCGACTCAGCAGGGGGGGTTAAATAATTCAGACACAAGGAGACAAGACACAGATGACCGTCGGTTCCCTGAGACCGGTTCTGTCCGCGGGGAAATAAAAGATCAGCCTCGTGCGCCGCGTGCGTCACAAATCATGTTTATTGGGGAGCGTTCTGTCATTAAACCGTCACGGCGAAGCAAATAAAAGGCTCCAGCGAGAGGAACGGATGCTTTCACCTCCCCTAAATCACGTCTGTGATTTGGCGCGCCGCGCTGACTCAGCACCACTTCACAGTTTGAGAATGAGCTGTTTTGATTTGATAAGGTGGTGTGCTGTGTGATTTATTCAGCAAATGAATACGTAATGTGTTTACGGAAAATAAATTGGTAGTGGTGTATTTAAATTTGTCTAAAGACCAGAAATCTGACATTTAAAAAACAAAAAAATCAATTCGGTACTTTTAAAATTCTGCCTGTTGTACAAAGTTACAAGTACGGTTGAGTTGAGTGAACAACCTGCACAAATGACTTATTGAGTTCTCCTTTCAGCCTCGGGGGAAACGGTGTGAAAACTTCCCACATTCTCAATCTGAAGAGGCCCAAACAAGCCCCTCAAGACGCCAAAAATGACATATATAACATAGAATAATCTCTAATCTCTTTGTGCATCTGAAATAGTAACACAAAAATATGTGCAGTCCAAATGAGATGTGTGTCTGTAACACACAGAAACCTGCCTGGACAGATACAAATTAAACGCCACAACGTTTGTGATTAAAGAGACCAGCTAACCGAGCTGCGGATGCTAATATTTCCTTTAGGATTCAGATCCACCTTTTTCTATCACTTAATAAAACGAGTGGGAGGTTCACCGCCTGCAGTACACACACACACACACACACACACACACACACACACACACACAAAGCTTTCTTTTATAGTTTGACCTTGACAATTAATTTGATGCCTGGAAAAACTGCTTTCCCAGCGCGTCTGAAGTGTGCCTCTCGATGTGGAGCGAGTCGGGGGGGTCTTGGAGTGGTCCGTTGACTCTCGCCCACTCCGCTTACCCCAGCGTACACACGGCGTCTTTAGAGACAACGTCTCCGGCTCGAGGACGGACACACTGGGACAAACGCAGCGACACACCGGAGGCCTCCTGCCCGATAGCGGCGCTCAGAGAGCAGCTGGAGGACGGACGTCTGTTTATGTAAAGATAGCGGCTGAAGATTGAATGTTCATCAAGTAGATGCAGGAGCCGACCTTTTTCCCACTCCGGCGTATCGCACTGTTCACTCCTTTGTCGCTGATGTTTATTTGGGGAAAATTCAGATCCTTTAATGTAGTGAAAGCAATACTGCAGCGTAAAAAAAAGAAAATACCGGAGCAAACATGAAGAGGAAAGGAAGTTACCAAGCTGAACAAACCTTCAAGATACTTTATTGTTTTGATGATTTTGGAAGCGTAAATCCAATCAGCAGGAGTAAACACAAGGAGGCCGCGAAGGCGTCTCCTTTCACCACTTGGGGAAAGATTCAAAAGTCAAAGTTTACTCAAGTATTTTACAGAAAATGTTGAAAACTCCTGTGTGTTAACCACAAACCTCATTTCAGGTATCCAGACAAAATCCAATTAAGAAAAACTCCAACTCCAAGACGAGGGAAATGGAAGTGACAGAATTGGAAGGCCTTTGGGTTTTGGTAGTCGTGCTCTGTTGGCGGCGGGCCTTTGATGTGTGTACGCCGTGCCGGCTCGTTTGAGAAACGAAATGGAAATACTCATTGGACCCGACTGGCTACTTCGATTCAAACTCCGTCACCGGCTCCGTCCTCCGCCCCTTAGAAACGCTCTTCCGTGACATTGGTTCGACTCTGTTGGAGTGCAGACGTCTGTTTATCGGGGCCGTATGTTACGCTCCGTGTGACCACTGACCTTTGACACCGAGCGCCACACAGACCGTCTCGGCCACTGCGGCAGCCGGGAGGCACGGGGTGGGGGGTGAGGGGGGTTCCTCCGGCTTCGCGCCGTACGGCACGAACAAGAGTGCGGCATGGTGCTGCCCGGCGAAGGAGGAAAATGATCGGGGATGAAACCGTCTCCGTTTCCTTGGTGTTACTGTGAGGCTCGAGGGGAATTGTTCAGGAACCCCCCCCCTACCCCACACCACGAGTCTTAGAGATCAAAGTCAGCCTTTTATAATTAGCTTGCAACGAGCTCTCAAAACGTGAAGGTGACCCCGTTTCTACGCACCTTTTAATTAGCTCTACTGTACTCAATTAAAGCCGTTTTCTCATTCGGTTGGAAACGGTCGCCGCTGATTCAGGTACATTCACAGCTACAAAGAGCTGAACGCGTTTCCTCTGCAGGTCTCTGAACATCCCACGTTTCTTTCTCTTTCTTTTAATGCGCGACCAGCAGTTGAAATAAAATAAAATGAAAGTGGACAAAAAACGCGCTCACGGCACCAATCAATACAAGTGTGTGTCTCTCCCTCGCACTTCGCCGCCCCGCAGGTGTTTCAGGGCCTGAGGGGTCGCTCGTATTCTCCTTTTACTTTCACACACTGGCAGGTACAGATGCAGTCACACACACACACACACACACACAGACACACAGACACACACACACGCTGCTCTTTTTTCTTGTGAAAACCAGGCTGCTGGATGTTAATCTGACGTGTTGTAGTCGCAGAGCTGCCTTACTTCAGACCCGCATGTGGCTGAGGATGCTTTTGTAGGAGGTAAACGAGACGGATGGGAATTGAAATAAAACGAGAAGCAAAGTTTTCAAAACTGGAAAGAAGTTTGGTCCAAAAAAAAGATTGCAAACTGCAAATAAATCGGGCGTCCCAAACTTCAAGGGGTTTCTAACGCCTCCATGGGAGCAATTTAGAACACAAGTGTGAATAAATAAATAAAAAGTTAAGATTAATTGATTATTGCTCAATAACAGAAAACCAATCGTTTTAGAAATAGCATAAACAACAATCAAGTTATTTAATTACCTTTGGGCAGCTGTAACCAACAAATATTTAACTTGAAATGAAATAAAATGTTTGAATAATCAAGTTGGTCATCAACAAATGTTCCATTAATTGATTACTTTTTTCTGTGAACTGCTAATATAATTGCTGTCTTGGAAAAATACCCGTAGCTCAGGACACAAAACATTAGCTTGATTAGATTTTTATGGGAAAAATAATTACTCAAACTTGTTTTAATGGAGCTAAATATGGCGCTGATGTACATAAATGTTGCCCCTTAGCGAGGGAAGTTCTGAGTGTCAAATACCTTCATTTCTACAGTATTTCAAGCCCTAAAATATGTCCCAGCATATTTTAAAAACCTTCAATACGGAGTCTCACGTCACTTTCCACAATCAGTCTTTGTCTCAAGGTCTGAAAGTCCTTCTTTAAAGCCTCTCCTCCTCCGCTTCCACAAATCCCCCCCGATGGCTCAACTGGTTTTAAGCAGGGAAATCAATAACCGAGCTTTTAAAGAGACAGCCGACCAGCGACGGTCTTATCGCGTCACTTCTGAACCCGTTCCACCTCAACTACAGATAAAGTTGGCGACGCGCAGGAAGGTCTTGTCGGGAGAAAGAAAATCCCCTGAGCCTCAAACCTGGAAGCCTGCAGGCTTCTGTTGCACGCCAAGCACAGAAACACACACACGTTTCTCCTCCTCACTGAAAGCGCAGTGAAGACGATGCCGACCGGCACCCTGACAGCAGATATAACGCTGCCATTAGGTGAGGACAGGGACGCACAGAGCGCTGCCAGAGGTAATAGGTTTGTAATCCGTTGTGTGTGTGTTTGTGTGCACGAGGAGATGAATCCTCAAAGCGAGGAGGGTGATCCGTCATTGTCACATTCAGCCACTGCCTCTTGTCTCGGGAGAGATGTGATGAAAATCTTCCCTCGGGGCTCAAAGCCTTTTTTCAACGTGATCCTCCGAGACGAACGACTCCTCTGAAATATTAAACTGGACTTCAGCAAAGGAAAGAAATCAGTAATTTAAGTAATCACTCTCCAAATGACTGTTGAAATATAACAGCGCAAGTACCTTTGCTACCTCGAGTTTTCATTTCAGAAATCAAGAGCAACTATGTGCAGATACGAGGGCAGAAAACAAAGAAAGAACTCATTTAAAGTTGTGAAAATTAAAGCTTTTTTAATTTGTGCTGACTGACTAAATGTTTCCCTTCACTGGTGTCAGTTCAGTCATCAACAATCAGTCGCTCCAGCTTGCATTGAAATGCTGGAACATCCCTCATCACAACTGCAATATTCCTTCCAGCGCTGCTGACCGCGTTCTTCTTCTTCCTTCTTTTTAAATGTAGCTTGCATTACACAGGTTATGGCGCACAGTGCAGCTCGATAGCCCGGAAACTCGATTTCAATTAACGAAGGGGTTCAAAGCTGCAGTTAGAGTTTCCTCCTCCGGCAGCGGGAGAGGAGCACGCCAGCCTCGGCCCCCGGGGGAACCCGAGGATTAGCTGCACAGTCGATCTCCGCCGTTGGTACTCCTCTCTCATGTGTGTTTATCTACAGATGGCTCCGCTGATCAGACTCAAGCAGGTCAACCCTTTCTGGGGGCTTCGCTGCGTAGAGAAACAATTGGTTAAGACGAAAAAGGTTAAAACGGCTAACTGGTGATTAGCATTCTTCTCAGAAATGGCAAAAAAAAAAAAAGTCTGACGTCATCCGTAAACGATATTGTGACCTTTGGATGAGCTTCATTACGGCTCCTACAAGACCTGCTCGCTTCTTTTGTCGATAGCCGATTGATACCATGAACATTACGGCTGATTGCAGTTCTCAAGTGATCACATAATCTCAGGACGTCCAGGTAGAGAGATTAAACCTAGATTTCCTTAGAAAAGATCACCTCGCCGCCATGAGCAGACCTAATGGGGTCATTTGTCTGTACTACTACTTTATTGATCAGAAGATTAAAACTCTCTTTTCTGGCTGAAACCAGCGTTTCTTGGTGTTTTTCCCCGGGAATAAAATGGTCTTCTTGGTCGGCGTTGGCTGAGCTCCAGAGGGATCAAGAACCGGAGATCAATTCACCCGGCCTTTGACCCGGGGGGACAAATGCTCCGGCTCCGCTAGTAACGAGGGGTTTAGGAGCGCTAGTCACCGTCCCATATCAATACCACATGTCGCTGTTTTTACAAACAAAGAGCTGCTGGTTTATTGGGAAAGTGTTCATGTCAAAAAGATGTTTTCATTCATTTTCTGACCAGCAGAGTGATAGAAAATGTTTTAAACTAAAATATTTCCATTCTTTGATTTATGATTTGGGACGTAAAACAAGCAGCTTCTAATTTCCAACAGGCCGCCGTGCATTTTAGTTTTAAATACGATCAAGACAAACAGAGGTGCTCAGAAAACAGAAAAACCCCAATGCAGCATTTTATAAATACTGTACATTGGTTTTAGAGAAACACAAACACACAAGTCCATTCATTCCTTATTATTTTGAAATAAGATAAAAATATCCACCCGGAGTCCAACGTTCAGCATCTGGAGGAATTGATGTGCTATGATTGAACGATGCTTCCCGAGGGGAGGAGGTGAGGGGACATGACCGCTTTTCGATGAGTGACATTGTTTTTTTTTTTTCATCCTTTCAGATGCGTCCAAGACGGACGTCCCGGAGGACTTTGACATCGACATGGAAAACCCGGAGACCGAGAAGGCGGCCGTCGCCATTCAGTCCCAGTTCAGGAAGTTCCAGAAGAAGAAGCGCGTTGAGAAGTCCTAGTGAGCGCCACAGCGCTCTGCCACTGTGCGTCCCGGGTGGGGGGGGGGGGGGGGGGGGGGGGGGGGGGTTTAATTTCCACAGGAGCACCGGGGGAAATTTCCTTGAAAAAAAATTCCACCCTTGTGGGCACCCCGGGGGTGGTTAAAGGGCCCGGGAGGGGGAGAGAATGCAACAGCCTGTTTATCATAAAACACGTCTGTGAATTTTCATTACCCTATTATTATAATTACTATAATTTATTATTTGACATCAATAAATGAGTAACTGAAACCGTTAGAAAGAAAATGTGCTTTCTGTCATTTATCATGAAGTCTAGCTGGTGTTTGTGTTAGAATATGTTTTTGTACTTTTCCCAGCCTCAATAGTTATACTTGAATCTCTAAGCTTAGAACTACGTTTCCCAAAAACACACGCGTGTAGCGATGGAGCTAATGATGGAGCCAACGTTGGATTGGAGCTTGTTTTTAGGAAACCTGGCCCACAGCTTTCCATTCTGAACAACATATTTCACCCTGAGGCATTTTTCTTACCCGCATGATACTATCAAGGTGTGTATCAATGTACGTTGAATAAATAAAAAATATGTCTTGAACTTGTGTAGTCTTTGTAAACTCTACGAGGGGGTACGCAACTTTTTTTTCTTCTATTAATTTAAAATGAGCCGTGGTCCATTTGTTATTTAAATAGTAACTCAGCTGAAAGAAATATTTTTTAGGGAGCACATCAGTGCTCTAGTGTATTGCATTGACATACTCCCAGTGTTGATAGCTGTGGGACTTGTATTTTGATGGCAGACTATGAATAGCATCCTCGTCAGAATGAGCTGGGCCGAGTCTATTCCCTTCTCAGCTTGATGACCTTCTCCATGTGGAGCCGGGCCGACTGACGGACCGATTCCCACCGAGCTGAACCGGCAACACCTGCAGAAATACTCCATGTATGTGGCTGAGGATTACAGGCTCAGGCTTCATTTTTGATGGAAGACGGGTTGAAAAAGAACCACCAAATAATTGAGGGAGCATTAGCATTTCATTCTGGCCTCAGTTGCTCGGCTTCCGCTCCATTTTTTCACTTTCCTTCTGTTCTCTGTAATTAACTGGACGGCCATGATTTGTTCGCTCTGAGGCAGCTGTCACAAAGAAGAGTTTATCACAGAACGGCAGACCAGCTTCCATGATTATACGGCATGCCGCTCCGGCACATTGCGTGGTCTCCCTCGTTAGAATGAGAAGGCTTCAGCCTGGAGGTGCAGTGAGGTGAACGGCAAGGCACGACGCACATCTCATGTAAACATCATTTTGTAGTTTCCCAAGAGATATTTATCGATTTCATGAACCATTTTGAAAAGTAGAGTACATTTGCTTCATGGATATCTTCTTTTTTAAAAAGGTAAAATGTCTGAACAACATGGTACCCATAGTGCCCATTACCGGCAGGTCAAAACTCATTAACATCATCCTGATATTTCACAGACATTTATGAATCACAGATGAGCCAAAATAAGTCTGACCTTTGAGGTTGACATCGGTGATTGCCAGGAAATATGCTTCAGCAAAGTCCAACCCGATTGACAGCTGACTTGGAGTCAGTTGTGATGAAAGGTCCCACAAAGGGATCCTCCCAAACTGCAGTTTATAGCACAGTGATGGAATCCAAAATGAGCACATTAGTATAGTTCACACACAGGATACTCATGTGGCTTGCTGCTCAAATACTTAGTTATATGTACACAACAATTGCCTTTACACTTTATAGAGACAGGACTTTAAACTGTCAAAGGTTAAGAAAAGTCATGATCCAGACAGCGCACAAGGAGAGGTCACTTTGCTCCTCTGGGAATAGATCCTCACAGCAGATCAGCTTTGTGAACCCGGGAGGATACTAGTGTTGCTGTGGCAGACTGCACACCCACATACAGCCCAACACGAGTAGCCTTAGCCTAGCTTAGCTCGGGTGACCAGACGTCCTCTTTTACCCGGACGCATTTTTAGAATTTTTAGAAGTTGGAGGTGTGGCGTGAGTGCGCGTGAAAACATGCAAACGCGTGTGTCACACGGGGAAACCGTGAGAGTTGGCCGCCCCGTAGCTTTGTTGGCTAGCTTGAGAACAACTTTCCAAGCAACACAAGACAAAGCAAGACCGCAAATAAGTTACTGAATAGTCCAGCAGAAATATATACATGCAAAATAACCTACAATGTGACTCATGTGGGCCTTTATGACCATGAGGTAAGACTGCACACAAAATTGTACCTATTACACACTTGATGCAATAGGCTACATGCTGGTGGATCTTCACCTAATTCTTATTTTTACTTAAGGAAATATGAATGTGAGAATATCAGACTCTATATGCAAGTAAATGAAGCATGTTCATCCCTCAGACAGATGCCAGGTAAAAAAGAGATCCTTACATATGTTTTATTTATTACTTTCACAGATAAATATAAGGATCCTATTTGTGGTATCGTATCGTAAGTATCGGGTACCGTAATATTTTGGCAGGTATAGTGTTAAAGTCATCATTTTGGTATTGTGACAATCCTACTACATACGCCGTGTTTCTACAGTCTAAATGTCCACACAACTTATCTTGCTGTAACAATATTCTGCAATTCCTTAAAAAAATACGGAACTGTGACCTTTCCATTTCCAGTGAAGGTCATTGTCTGCAGGAAATGTTGCTTGTTTGTTTGTCTGCCTGCTTGTTTTATTTTCCACCCGGAGGGATACCAAAACGGATCCTGCCAAGTCATCCACAGGCCCACAGAGAACGTCTCCCCGAGGTTCTGCTGGTCGCTTCCTTGGGTTTGTGAGCGTGTGGTAATAGAATTTAGATAATATTTAAATATGGAGATTTTCTTCTGATCTTTTTACATCAAAGCCGTTCTCTCCTCTGATGTAGAGAAGCGTATTTTGGGGTCGACGTTAAACTCTGGGTCGTCACCCCTGGGTGCTCACTGGGTCCCTGGGGTGCACCTGCACCTGCAAGGTGACCGTGTCTCACCGAGACATCGTCAACACGGTCAAACTATTTCAGAGTTAACACAGTTTTGGACACAACAGAACAAGACCCACTCCTCCTCACTGCCCGACTCCAGCAGGGATGCACTGCAGACCGTTTGGGGACGGATTTGAACCATTTCGGGGATAATGATATGTTGATAAATGCACCGAAACTGGTTCATGATGGAAATTCCCACATGTGCTGAGAATGAGATTGTGAACCGCGCCGTCTGCTCCGCCCGTAGAAGATCATTTCTGCAGGAAAGTGGAATAAATGTCGATGTCTGGTCCCTCAATCATCCTTGTGCACGACTTCACTTATAAAAAACAAAGATGATATTACTGCATTCTGCAGATACAGAAATCAATTTCACACTATGGAAATTTTTTTAATGATTATCTGTGATCTTATAAAAATGGACATTTCATGACGACATGCGCTTGAACATATTTCCTTGATAATAGTAAACTGATATGCTCATAATGGTTCTTTTCATATAAGCGTATCCATGGAAACCTTCCATCTCGTGCGTTCTCCGTGGGTTTCTTGGTTTGTTTACACTGTAAACCGGGGATCCCTGCAGACGGGGAGATGGATGATTCTGCGAGGTCGGATTCATTAAATTCATATTTAGCCATCAGTGGCCTGTCACACCAACAGCAATGGGAATTTGATCTCATCCGCGTTTGCCTGCAGGCCCGATCGGAGAAATTTCACTGCCAAAAATAACAGCCTACAAATGAGAGGAATCAGACAAGAAAGACTGACTTCTTCGTACACAAAAAGTGCAAATGCTTTCAAAAACAATTTGAGTTGATCGGCGCCTGCAGCCACCAAATCTGTAAGGTTTGTATTTCTTTGCAGAAAGTTTTACCAGCATTGAATCTCGTGCAGTAAACGGGCAGGAAATTAGGTGTTGATGGATTAAATCAAAACCTCATTCAAGCAAAAAGACTGCAGTCACTCCAGAGGCCGATCAAAACGTTTGTATCTAGTTTGTCTGCACACAGACAGGTGCTGTTTTGACACGATTCACATCTTTGTGCTGTTCTTCTCTTCTCTGTTGTCTTGAGTAAGAACTTTCTACGGGGAGATTTCAAATGGAGTCTTAAACCCTGCAAGTTGCCCCAGAAATAGATCATTACATGAAGTCAGCTAATCCATTTTCAGTTCAACTTAAGAGACAAAATGTGTGAAATTATTCATGTAAAAATGTTTATTCCCAAAGTTGGTGGCGATCATAATCCATTTGCCAGAATGGTACTGACTGATTAGATTTAAATTGGCTGGAAAATACTGGAATCTTTCTTCAGACTGAATATAAAATGTTTAAACTCTGAGCTTGTGATAAGGAGTCAAGCTGCGGCGGCTGTGTGCAGCATTTTCTAATTATCTTTTTAACAGCGCTATTGTACGTGAGCTGGAGTTGCTCTATTGAGAGTGGAGAGATCCGTGCTGCCATCACAACGTAGGGAGCAATGGGAAACACAAAGTAAATAATTATTAACATATATAACATACAAAATGCAAATGTGCAGAAGACTTTTGTGAATATTGTGTAGTTCCATAGCCTAGGCTCATAAGGGTGTAGTTGTAACATTACCACAAGTCTTATCATGATCAGTGTTGGGCAAGTTACTGAAAATGAGTATTTAGTTACAGGTTACTTCTTTTAAAGGTAATTGAATTACTTAAGTTACTGTGTATCAAAAGTAATTAGTTACTCTGGAAAGTAACTTTTATGTCTGCTTTTTAAATGTAATGAATATAAATAGTACTGAACAGTCAAACACAATAAACATTTTTTAGAACTATTTATTGTAATCAACAGGGCAACAGGCCTTCAAATCAAGCAATAGTACAAAAGTCCTTTTTAATACTTAACTTAATACAAAATAACGGTTTCAGGCATTTGCCTGAAGGCAACTGACTCGACAGTTGACAGGATGCATCTCATCTCCAACATACCGAGCGATCAATCCATTCAGCTCTGCCCGGTTTATCGGCTGCACTGCAGTCCGTGTGAAGTGGAGCCGTGGTTGTTT